CGCAGCCTTCCACTTCTGCTTTCCCGAGAGAAGGGGGAGGAATGCACGGCTACTCATCTCCATCGTACTCTCAGGAGGGCAGGTCGGAGACCTCGGACCGCTCAGGCAGGTCACCACAGGAAGCTTCGTCGATTAAGTTGTCTGCATCGCCCGAAGAACCGAGCAGAAAGGGGCCTTCCGTTCAGAAAAGGAAAAAAACTTAAAGCATTTGTCATAACTTTCCATTCTCTTTGTCCTCTTGGGATGTCTACCTCATGCAAGTACAGGGGAAATAATTTCATTATCAGTAGCTGACCTGGAATTTTAACTACTGTTGAGGAACTGTGAATTTTTTTTCTTTGATAGACAAATCACTCCAAGCAAAACACATTTGAGCAGGGTGCATTACTTTTTACCTTCTGTATGTGTGTGTATGAGTGTGCACGCGCGTGTGTGTATATGTATGTATCTATAAATATATATTTTTTTCCATCAGACCACTGTCCACCTCCCACGAGACATTACTGTGAAGCAATAGGCACAGTATCCACAAATGTTCCTGAACTCATTCCTAGAACCTATTTCCAAACATGTTCAAAAAAACAAACAAGAAAACCCAAGAAATCTCATTCAAAACAAACCAAACCTAAAAAACCACACACAGAACTGAGATCGAGACTGTTACTTCTCTTGTGAACCAAAGGATACTTTCATATTTTAAAGCTGCCATATGGTACTAAAGATACTAAGACATCCCCCATGCCATCTATTTGAGTTATTTTCTTTCTCATCTCCACGAAGTTTCAAAACCCCTCCCCATGCCTGTGCAGGGCAATGTCATGACTCAGCATGGCTCTCATTACCACCATCCTTTGTTGCTGAGGAGTTTAAAGCTCCAGAAAAGACAATGAATGTGTAGTTTCTGTGGTGGTTTCTCAATGTTTTGTTAATATGGGTGTAACTGTAATTTAGATGACTGTTGTTGTAGGGGAGAATGTATAAGTTGTTACTGAACAGACCCTTTTGAGTGATATCAGGATACCATCTTGCTTAACCTTTTGTATTCTGTGAACCTTTCGGGGACCTTGGTGGCAGTAGCAGCAGCAGCAGCAACTTCTCTTGGTCCCAAGTAGAGCCCCTCAACTGGAAGGGACTTCCCACTTGTTTTCTGTTGAAATGGCGTGGAGAGCGCTCCCTAGGGATTTTTGTTGTTGCCTGATCTGGTTTAAAGAAAACAAAATGCAAAGCTAATGAGATCTTGCGATAAATAGTTTTTTAAGAATAAAGGTAGATGGGTGCTTGCAGTTGCTCAGCCAGCCTCCCTTGCTGATGATAGAGCATGTGTACAGTCAAGAAGGACAAGTGTCTGCTGCAAACAAGCCTTAGTGAAGGGACCTGCAAATTTGCAGGAAGTTCTGGGCATCACCTGCTTCTAGTGAACTGGAGACTGTTGCTGACCAGCCTTGGTCCTATGTGCGCTGGGACCACACACTTCTGCATTATAGAGGAGAAAGATTGGTGGCCTCAGAGTGAGACTCCCTGGGCTGCAGCCCTTGCTCGGGGTTAATAGAGTTGGAGCCTATCAAAACTTCAAGTCGCTTTCCATTTGTAACTTCTGAATTACCAAGTCATACGTAAGATAACGTACTTTGACAAATCCCATTGCGGATGTAAGTTAATTAGAGAAACCTGTATAATCCTTAACATTGGCAATAAACACAGGCTGTTAAAGCTTGAAGGAGTCAGGTAGGTTTAAGCTCAAGTAATCAAACTAAGGAAACAGCCTGCATGAAAGGCTACAGCCAGCCAAAGTCTTACCCATGGTAACTCTTTTGCAGCTGATAGTTACAACAGGTATGCAGCCGGCTCATTATGTGGCCTGCCCCTTCCCACTCGTCCTGCCAGATGAGACTTTTACTGTTGCTGCTGCTGCTGCTTCAGTAAGCAGGTAGTAATCAAACACCTCAGTGAAGGGCACAATTTCAAGAAAATTATTTTGTGTGACTTCTTTGCCAGTGTTTGTGAGATTCTCGATGGTTTATACTGAAGTTCTCAGTATGCTAATGCAAAGCTTACCTTTGACGATATTGAATGTGATATATCTATAGAGAAGAACGTCCTTGCCTTACGTAAGGATAGTAAACTTATTTAAATTATGTAGACAAATCAAAGTGGCATTGCTTAACCTTCTAGTCGGTGTAAAAACCAGGTTAAACAGCAAAGATGCAAAACTTAGGTCACTTTGAAAATTTAAACCAAAGTTCCTTATAGAAATAGGCAATTGTGGATTTGAAGACTGGTCATTCCCTGTTTATATGTAAGAAGTTCAGAGCTGAGATAAGGAAATATTTTCAACATACAGATTTTAATAGGTGCTGTTTGAAATCACTGTGTGCACCAAAGTCAGACTGAACTGCTAAGAGCACATACCAAACCCTATCTTATTATTGAAAGCTTAAGGTTTTATTTTTATATATTAGAATGTTATCACTATTACATAACATACTCAGGACAAAGAACTTTGCTCAGGGAATATACCATGTAATGTTGTTTTTTCTTTACAGAATAGTCTACAGACCTGCTTATTCAGAACAAACCAAATAGTCTTAGACTTTTTTATCTATAAGTATTATGTACTGATATTAGTAACTACCTCTGAGTTGACATAGACCTACATTTCTGATAATCAGATCTCAGCATTTTGTATTATAAGTTCCTGTGAAATGATAAAGTGGTATCCTGTACTGGTTGCTTATGTGAGCATTTGTGTCTTTACATTCACAGGGTCTGAGTTTTCAGAGGGCAACCACAGCTCCCACTGACTTCCAGTTGGAGTTACTGGTGCTTAGCTTTTCTAGGAGGGGAGGGATGGGTGATGGGGGGTGGAGAGGGAAGATAAAAACACAAAAGCATCAAGCCCACTGTGTTTACATAGGTGACAATAAATTTATTATTCTGTTTACAGCAAAAGGCTACCTCATATTTACTGCATAAACACACCTTTGTGCTGCTCTAGCCTTGAAGGTGGCTGTTGATCTATGGTACATACTTTTTATCTGTACTAAATATGTAACTGATAGTTCACCACTGCATACATTATGGCAAATACTTGTTTAAGATGAAGCATCCATTTGAAATTATGAGACGTTTCCAAACATTTCTTTGAAAGTTTTTTTCTGTCTACAGGATTATGGGCACTGTTCACCAAAATGAATACATTTCCAAACGAGGCAAAAATGTACATGCCTAAGTTAAACATATAGCAGCGCAAGCTGCAGCAGGTAACTATTTAGCACTGGGCTGCAGTAGAAAAAAAATATAGTTATGATCCTTCAATAGGCTGCTCCAAATAAGTAAAGAACCTTTTAAAAGAAGTGGCACAGATCGAGTTTGGGATTCTTCCTTCACATCTAAGAAGGAAATGAATATTCTGCAGCATTGGCTCAGCCTAGATTTCGCCTATTCACCAGCCTGTCCTTCCCAGAATGCTTCACAATAAAACTCGTTTGGGTAGGAATAGCTCAAATATCTGCTTAGAGAGATGTATTTTTCTCCTAACAATACTGGAGATAAGGTTAAATCTGGAACAAGAATATCTCTCCCTCCCATTCCCCCACCCCAGACCACTCAATTTAATTTAATCATAAGGGACATTGTGAGGTATTTTTTAGTCTACTCCAAGGAGGGGTCGTGGTATTTATTTACTTGCCACAAAAGTTAGGCCACGAGGAAGACTTGTATTTGGACGCAGAGCCAAAATAACTTTTTGCTGCAGTTGATGGTAAATCTTGCACTGTAATACCATTTGCAATATTTTGGTTTTAGCCAGCTTTCAGGGAGTGCCAAACACCCCACATTTGGATTCTACCTCTTCCCTTTGCAGGCCACCTTTTTCAGCCCACCTTTTTCAGCCCAGTTTTACTCTGCACCAGTGTTATACTGGAGTTCCTGCTTAGTCATACTTAGTTTTGTGAATAGGCCCCATAAAAAGCATTTATAGATCTTGTAACATTCTTTGTAAGAAGAATTATAAAAGAACATGTGAAATCTCATCGAGTCTTTAATTTAATTAATTTATCTGTAAGAAAAGTTTATCGTAAAAATATATATGTATTCCCCTGTGCTAGATATAAAAGTAATTGGGAAGATATGTACATGTGCAGATGCACTGATTTTAATTTTCTAGAAGTCTTAATGAGATTTGAGTATTGTTTTAGAAAAAAGCAAAGCCTTGTTAAATACATCGATCTTATTTTGCTTAGTATATCAACAGCCTCTTCTTTAAGATCCGTTAATTGTTTTACCCCTATTACACCTGTTGACTGATAACAAGAGGTTGATCTTTACACGCTTCTTTTTTTTTATACTAAACCAGAGCTGTGTATTAACAGCTTCAGCATGTTTTTATGGGAATGCTGAAAAGTAGCAAGGTATTTGCTACCGTTGTCATTGACCCAAACGTAAGAGCAACTGTCTTTATAAAGGATAATGGTTTTGACTACCTCTTGGATTACTAAGTTAAGCAACAACTGGCTGACAAATATCACCAGACTGGCTTAAACTAGTATGTGTTGCTTGTGGTAATAATAACAATAACCATACTAGAGACCAAAGTGAACACTGATTTCTGTGTCTTTAATACTGTGTCTTATCTAGTGTTTTTAAATTATCTTCTGTAGTATAGATTACCTCATTGTCCATTTTGACTTGTATATTGTTTACAAGGTGAAATAAAAGAAAAATCACTTGAATTTTATGTTTTAAGGAAAAGACAGTGAGCTGAAGTTTTGAAGGTCATTTCACCTGCTCACTGTCTTGAGGGACTAAAGCACTGATTGCCTTTCTACATATCATGTATTTTATATTCTCATTTCATGCCTAATGTCTTTTTTCCTGTCAGTCATGGATATTGTGAGGTTTAAAAGAATTACTTGATTAAAAATAAAACATATAACGTTGACATTTACAGTGAACCTTTGTGATTTTCTTGATTTGCATGATAAAAAAGCACCGTACAGTCACTGGGCAGACTTTTCATATGCACCTATGTTCATTTATATAAGCTGATGTTCGGAGAGATAAATAAATTGTTAATGCATACCTGGATCATACTAGCACAGTGCTGCAGAAATTGCACCCCACACCCTGTTCAGCTATCAAGATTAAACTGCAAGATCATAGCTTTTGGTACTTGCTCTCTTTGACAATACCCTGGTCATTAAAGTTGTCAGACATTTGTGTTATTCAAAGCTTTTGGTGTTTAAGTCTCATCCCATCTTTATTACTTCTTCCATAATCTGTAAGCCTGTACATACCTATCACATGCTAATTTAAAATTATTTGAGGAGTTGTTTCTTTTTTAGAAATGAATGTGCCTTCATCTACTACTACAAGGAAATTCCCCGTCTAAATTACATGAAGTGTACTAATGAATTGGATAGTGTTAGCTTATCGTTCTGTATGAAAATATTTGAGGGCTTGTATATTCTAGCTGGAGTGCCTCTGTGTTTCAATACAGGGCCCTACATAGAAGTGATTAATAGCAAAATTTAACAATCGCTACTAAATACAAGGCATAAAAGGTTTGTTTTGTTTTCTATTTATACAAATGTCTGCATGAAGG